AGTGAGACCAAGATGAATTGGGGAGGAGTATGGGAAAATAGAAGGAATAGGGGATAAAGGGGGCAGTGGAGAGTAAACAGATCACTGATTAGTATGCAACTACATGAGTTGCAAGGAAAAACAACCATGACTAGGGACTCTTCAAGCAGAATGGCTGCTCCAGTTTCCAGTTGGCAGTTCCTCACACAAGGCAGAAGGGTTTCTGAACCTCTTGGATGAACCTCAGTTTGCTTTCACTTGGAAGGGCATCCAATACACCTGGAATCGATTGCCCCAGGGGTGGAAACACAGCCCCACCATTTGCCATGGACTGATCCAGACCACACTGGAACAGGGTGAAGCTCCGGAACATCTGCAGTATATCGACGACATCATTGTATGGGGTGACACAGCAGAAGAAGTTTTTGAGAAAGGCAATAAAATTGTTCAAATCCTTCTGAAAGCTGGCTTTGCCATAAAACGAAGTAAGGTCAAGGGACCTGCACAGGAGATCCAATTTTTAGGAATAAAATGGCAAGATGGACGGCGTCAGATCCCAATGGATGTGATCAACAAAATAGCAGCTATGTCTCCACCAACCAGTAAAAAGGAAACACAAGCTTTCTTAGGTGTTGTGGGTTTTTGGAGGATGCACATTCCAAATTACAGTCTGATTGTGAGCCCTCTATATCAAGTCACCCGGAAAAAGAATGATTTTAAGTGGGGTCCTGAGCAACGACAAGCTTTTGAACAAATTAAGCAGGAAATAGTTCATGCAGTAGCCCTGGGGCCAGTCCGGGCAGGACAAGATGTTAAAAATGTACTCTACACTGCAGCCGGGGAGAATGGCCCTACCTGGAGCCTCTGGCAGAAAGCACCAGGGGAAACTCGAGGTCGACCCCTGGGGTTCTGGAGTCGGGGATACAGAGGATCCGAAGCCCGCTATACCCCAACTGAAAAGGAGATACTGGCAGCATACGAGGGTGTCCGAGCTGCTTCGGAAGTGGTTGGTACAGAAGCACAGCTCCTCTTGGCACCTCAACTGCCCGTGCTGGGCTGGATGTTCAAAGAAAGGGTCCCTGCCACACATCATGCAACTGATGCTACGTGGAGTAAGTGGATTGCACTGATCACACAGCGAACTCGAATGGGAAATCCCAGTCGCCCAGGAATATTGGAAGTGATCATGGACTGGCCAGAGGGCAAAGATTTCAGAATATCACCGGAGGAGGAGGTGACGCGTGCAGAAGAGGCCCCACCGTATAATGAACTGCCAGAAAATGAGAAGATATATGCCCTGTTCACTGATGGGTCCTG